GGCCGTTTGTTGTGGGGGGGGGGGGGGGGGTGGAAGTTAAGCGTTGCAAATTGTAGAGAAGCAAAATACCGTGCAAGTCTAGTGTCAAAAGATTCATTTAAGCTTGACTATAATTGCAGCATGTGAAATGGCAGGGTATGAGGGTTTGAAATGCCTATTTTGGTGGGGTTATGTCAATAGATGAAGTCATATGCACAAGTGAGAGCAAGTTTCCCTAGTGAAATAGAGCTAATGGCATAGACAGGCTCATTTAAGCAAAATTGCCCTCAATTTTGACCAAAACAAGTGAAAATTGTACAGTAATTTCAGTAAGAGGCTATCCAGCCAATAAAATATTCAGCTTATTAAGCTTTGAAGAAAAGCTGGGAACTCCTCTCTATAGGTCACTGACTGAACCAGGTCCACAGGGCACAGCCGGGCTTGACACGAGGACTGGAGGTGGAAGGCAGCCTGTAGGGGCAGTTCCAATGGGAAATTTACTCCTTTGTTGTAGCCAAGGTACAGTGTAATGTCAAAGCTTCATCATCAGGCTCCTGTTAAGTGTCACGAGGCATCTTTGTGGCACCTGCTTCATGGTGTGAAGATAACTTGTCTCCTATGTAGTTGCCTACTGTTAGCTGCCTGTTTATGTTCTTGCAGCTTTAGCTGTGAAAAGTGCTTAGCGTGGCTCTCTGCTGCACTGTTCTGTATCTGGCTCATTGCTGCATGGCAGTCTGCCTGATCCCTCCCGAAAACATAATACTTCACCCATTTCTGCTAGTCATGTCTCCAAAGACTTCTGTCTTGTTTGGATGGGCCATCTGATGACTCCTGTGAGGCTGTGCAGTGGTATTCTTTAGGATATTCATGTGCTGCTGCCAGGTCTTTCACTTCATGGAATGTTTTAAGTTCTTTGAACAGAACCTAAGAGGTTGAATTGTAAAAATGTCTATTTAAGCTCAAATGTGCAAGTACTTCATAAAAAAAAGGTATCAAATACCAGCTGTAGATTATTGAAGTGCTGTTTTTGACTTTCCACAGAGCAGCTGCCTTAAGTAACCTTCTATGGTATTAATAATGACATAATTGCAACAAAACCAATCTTTTGATAGAAATACCTATACTCTTTGAGGGCTCTATGCTCTCAGTCCTTTTAGAGAGTGCAGAGGTACAGGCATGGTAGAAGAGCATTAATGCCAATAAAGGCTTTCTCTCTACCTCAGGCATACTGCTCACTTTCGCTTTACAGAGTACTGAAACATCTCTCTCCAGGCAGGTGTCTCATGACCTCGCCTGTATTTGCTTTCTCCACTCATTTCTCACCCTACTCCCCTCCCTGATGCAGGACCCCTCTGTTCCTTACTTTTTCCATGCTTTATGTCCTGCAAGTGTTTCCTTCTTGTAAGATGAAACGGTTTCCTGTAGCCCTTTGAAATAAATAGACATTGGGAGTTGTTGCCCTCTCCAGGACAAGGGTGGACAGCTGAGCAGAGCTGCCTTGCACTAGCACCAGGGCCCATGCAGCGGAAGGTAGCTGCACCGTTCTCTGCCACAGGGCATTGGCTGCAGCTACAACTGCTCCTACAGGTCTGTTTTGTCTCTGGGTTTCTGGACATCTGATTTCAGAGAAGGGAACAGTATAAGGATACTGTCCTGCAGTACAACAGCCTCATTCCACCTAGGGGATCTTGATCTGCATCTTATGTTGTTTGTGCTGCTTCAAGAACAAAGTGCTTGCAGTTACTTTAGATCTCTTATTTGAGGTCCTATTCGGTGCTTTCGCAAATCAAGCTACTTTGCCGGATGAAGCATGGTTCTCTGAAACCCAGCAGTTCCTGTGCTGCAAAGAGCATCAGGCTCTTCTGTGCTTTGTTGGTGCTCAGCTGTTCCAGCCTTTGGAGAGGAACAGCTCCTCAAGCGTGGCTGGCAGCGGGCGGAAGGGACTGTGTGTGGGCTGAGGTAATGGAAAACAGGGCCAGGATGGGTGGTGGTTCCGGGCTTCTTGCCACCCAGACAGCCCCTCAGGGCCTAAGTTCATGCTGGAACATGCTCTCTGTCCTCTCCTCATAATTTTACTCAGATACCTCAGGCTATGTCCTGTCTCCTTCCAAAGTGCCATTACTGAGTAGCAGCCAAACTCTTCCCAGCTTTTCTTCCGCTCTCTCCCTGTGGAACGAGCAGATAGATCTCTATTCCTCTTGCTGTTTTCCCAAAGGGGAGTTAAAGACGACAGCCCGTTTATGAAACGCCGTATACAAATTGCAAATGAATTAAGTGGTTTTGGAGCTAAAGTGTTAGATGGAGCGCCTTTGTTTGCCTGGTTTTGTCTAATGGGCAGTAGGTCCTGGCAAGCAGCAGTGAGCCCAACTGGTTGTGTTGAGTGAGGTTTGGAGGTTTTGCGATCTGATATTTATTAAGAGTTGCTTTGTCTGAGTACCGACTCTAATGATCTGATTGAAAGAGGAGAGTTGAGCTTGTGCGATTTGACACAGGAGAATTGGTAAAGAACTGAGGTGTGTCTTAAGGGCCTTACATTTCTTTCCTTTCTCAGGTGGTACAGGGAATTTGCCTCTTTTTTTTTTTAAACCTACATTTACAGTTTTGGGATGAATTCCACGTTGGAGGTCCATTGCATTGGATCGGCTCTTCGGTGGTTGCCTAGTACGCAAGTGTCTCTTTTAGGAGTGTTTTAAACCATGTTTTATTTGGACACAATAAGTCAATCAAAAAAGTAATGAGCGTTAATTGAGATGTTATAAAATTCTGCTGCAGAGACAACTTCTAATTGCGTCTGTGGGCTGTGGTCAGTTGAAATGGTGTGATTTGCCATGTGTTTACTTGCTCTGCT